TTTTTATTTTTTATCTTATCTTACTTATACATTATATAATTAGAACTTATAATTTTTTATTTTTAATAAAAAAATATAATCATTTAAATTATTTAAGTCATTAATAAAATAAATTTATTAATTATTAATTATTTTAAAGTCAGATGCTATTATAGTATTCAGGCTCACAATGACATTTCACAAATGTAGATCACATAATAATGGCATTATTCATGTACAAGAAGATAAAGGTATGCAGTAGCCGCCCCAATAATTTTGTTTTTGAACTTTTGCTAATAAAGACCCAGTGGATAAAGTTACGAAGCGCAAATCAGCAAACGCAATTGAACAAGTCAGGAATAGACAGCTAAATTCATTGGTTCTCTCACTGACACTCCTCCGGTATATATAGATCCATCCTCTTCCCCCTTATCCCACACAAATGAGCAAAAATCTTCCTTGATATTCACAAAAATGAGCATTCGCAACTTATCAGTTTTGTCTTTGTTCTTGTCTTCTATACTAGTCTTTGGCTCGGCTGAGCAGTGTGGATCGCAGGCAGGTGGTGCCTTGTGCCCAGGAGGCCTGTGTTGTAGCAAATTTGGTTGGTGTGGAACCACTGATGACTACTGTGGAAATGGTTGCCAAAGCCAGTGTTCATCAGGGGGAGGAGGTGGCGGCGGCGGTGGTTCTGGTGACGTTGGCGGTCTCATAACAAGATCAATGTTTAATGACATGCTCAAGCACAGAAATGACGGTGGTTGCCCCGCCAAGGGCTTCTACACCTATGATGCTTTCATCGCAGCTGCTAAGGCCTTTCCAGCGTTTGGCACAACTGGTGATGATGCCACCCGGAAAAGAGAAATTGCTGCTTTTTTGGCGCAAACTTCACATGAGACTACTGGTTTGTTGAATTTTTTTTTTTTTTATCAGCTACTGGTTTGTTGAATTTGATTCTTTCTTTATAACTTGACATAAATTGTTCATCCAATTCCATTCATGTACATAATTCAAGAGGCATATATATGTAGGTGGGTGGGCTAGTGCTCCAGATGGTCCTTATGCTTGGGGATATTGCTACAACAGAGAACAAAACCCTGGCTCATCCTATTGTGCTCCTAGTCCAACATATCCTTGTGCTTCCGGAAAGCAGTACTTTGGTAGGGGTCCAATGCAACTATCTTGGTAAGCTCTTAATTATATATCATATACTCTTTAAGGCTAAAGTTTGTGCAAATAAATCATTAACTGTGAACTATAATGATGTAATATTTGGTACTTTTTTTTTTTTTTAAGGAATTATAACTATGGGCAGTGTGGGAGAGCCATTGGGGTGGACCTATTGCACAACCCAGACCTGCTTACAACTGATGCAGTGATATCCTTCAAGTCAGCAATTTGGTTCTGGATGACAGCTCAATCACCAAAGCCTTCATGCCATGATGTGATAACCGGAAGATGGTCACCATCTGGAAGTGATCAGGCAGCCGGACGGGTTTCAGGGTATGGAGTAGTGACAAATATCATCAACGGTGGGCTTGAATGTGGGAAGGGTTGGAATGCAAAGGTAGAGGATAGGATTGGATTCTACAAGAGGTATTGTGACATACTGAGAGTTGGCTATGGCAATAATCTTGACTGCTACAACCAGAGGCCTTTTGGGTCTGGAGTCTTAGTTGATACCATGTAATATGTTTCAGAACAATATGAACCAAAAATAAAGAGTGTCAGAACAATGTTCTCTCCAACTTAGCTTGTTGGTTGGAACCTATAATGTCTGTTTGCCTGAACTATGAAGTATGTGTACTTGTGTTGGTCTAAGAGAATATTAAAGGTATGCTTTCTCAAATGCCATCATTCTGTATAAATTACTGCTAGCACCAAAACACTTTTGGATTTTATGCATAGTTTTGCCATTAACAAAATTAAAAAAGTTGGCCATCCTCTTTAGCACTCAGCTCAGAATTTTGCTGATGGATGACATGAAATCATCAGATTATCAGAGTCCCAAACAACAGACTAGATTTCCACGAAAGGAAGAACAAGATCATTAAATATAATAGCCTATCTACAAATACCAGAGTCTAAATTAAAGCTGAACTGGGTAATCAAGAAACTAGAAGTTCAAAATGTTGGCATAAGGAGTCAAATTCTGAAGCCAAGGGCTGTTTAGCTGAGTCCAGAATGGATCCTGGGTCCAATCCATTCCCATTTTGGGTAGTTGAAGTTCTGGCAAGTTCTCCTTGCCAACGGGCATTTGCAGGGATGCTGAAGATTCCTTCTTGTTCTCCTTTACCATTTCATCTTTCATAACATCCACCATTGGAGTGTCTTCTTTTTCCTGCTTCAAGACTACTTGGGGTGCGGAAAATGATGCTGAGAATTCCGCCTGTGGGATGCAAAATGGGATTGTCTCTATTGAGGATTGTGGAGATGAAGGGAATGTTTGCATTGCCTTTGTCTCTTCTTCCAGGGCAGCCCTTTGCTCCAAGACTTTCAAGGAAGTTGCTTTCCTGTATATCTTGCACAGAACAATGTCCTGCATTTCACATTGAATCATAAAATTTAGATTCAGAATTGGGACAAATTAATTATCAGGAGAATTTTCTTTAGCACCATCCAAACAAAGACCAGGAAAATAATTAGAAGTACAGCGAAGTACCTTAGGCCAGGGGCAGCCATCAGGAAGGCGATATTCATTCATGACCCAATCAGTCTTGGTTCCTCGAGGGGCTCTTCCCTTGTAGAAAACAAGGGTCTTCTTCAGCCCAATTATGCGTTTAGAATCAGATAAGCTGAAGATTTTCCGGTCAGAACCAGTGGCTTTCCAGAACCCATTTTCAGTGGTCCTGTTAGGCCTCCCTCCACTGCCATGCTTCCTGTCCCTAGGCACAAAAAAGTACCATTCCCTCTCCCCAATTTTTGACAACCCTGTACAAAACAACCATCATTCTCCATCACAACCATGATGAAATCATAAATTGTATTCTTTGCAATATAAAAATTGTAACAAGTGTATACCAGGCAAGTCCGAGGGATCATGGTGATAGATGTTGAGAAATCCAATTACATCACACCGTAGCTTCTTCCCACAAATCATGTTCTTCAAGTAGAAATCAAGAAGCTCCTCCTCCGTTGGGTGGAACCTGAACCCCGGTAGTCCAAGCTCTGGTGTTACTTCCTCCATTGGAATTGAAAGCTGTGATGGTCCCCTACCACAAGTATTTGCAGGATTTTCTCTCTTAGTTTTTTAGATTGGTATGAAGATGAAAGTGAAACTGTGTTGCAGCATCGAACCACCCATATGCTTGTTATTTATAAGCATGGTAGATGTATGCTGCTGATTCATAGTGCTTCATGAATTATGACAGTAACAATAAATTTAGGGGCCGATGACCAAGTCTCCTAAAAATTTTATTAGTTTATCTCCAGTTGTGGGGACAGAAGACTTGGGGGGTCTACGTCTTGGTGAGACCCACACGCTTTCCACAATAAAGTCACCACTGACTAATCCTTTGCTGTGGTATGGGTATTGGACAAAGACTCTCTTGCTTGACCCTCTTTCTTTAGTCATTTCTCGTGATTTTGGACCATTACTTGGAAATTCTAGAGGAGGAGTTGGTTTTTTCAAAGTAAATTTCTTGCTTTTCTAGTTTCTACTATATTGATTTTTGAATAAATTGTTCTAGTGTTTTGCAGCTTCATGATTCAAAGGACCATGAGTGGTCAGCCGGTCTTTTGTTAGTAAAACATTTGAATTGGTCATGGTATTCTGTTCTCCATGGTTAATTGCTAGGAATCAACATTGAAATGATTTTGCAAACTTCTTTGGTTTTGAGATACCAACAAGTTTCCCTGCAACATAATAATATTCAAAATTTTCTAATATAAGACTTAACACCTACTAAAATGTTCCAAGCTCTCTATTTTCCTTGAATCAAAAGCTTTGTCCAATTGATTTGAACATAGGACATTTGAATTCTTCTTAGTTTTTGATTATATTCTAAGATGTGAAAAAGGATATATTATTGAAAAAGGTAAGGGATTTTAATATTTTGGTTCCAACTTAAGACATTTAAAAAGTAATTATTTAATAAGATTTGTGGGTATTAATACCAACTCTTAAAAAAATTAAAATCTTAATTTATATTGAGAAACTAAAATTTTAAGTTAAAATTTAAAAATCTACCTTATTAAAAGTTATTACCTCAATTTGAAACTGATTATATATATTAATATAATTAATTTCTAAATCTAAATATCAATATTTTATAAGTTAGATTTTTAAAATTTGAATTGAGTTTTAATTAAATAAAATCATATAGTTTAAAGTTACAATTTTAATTTATTTTAAATTTCAAGACTGATATGAATTTTTTACTTAATATTCAAATATTAATACAGGTGAAGAGAGTTTTGTTGTATGAATGAACTGTGTTATATGGTTATTAAGTGCGCTAAAATTATGGATAATCTAAGATTCTAGTGCGTGGGTGTAGGAATAACATAAGAAAATCCCACAATTTTAGTGATACAAATAATTAGATTTAAGGATTGTCGTTTAATTATTGACTTTGAGGATTGAAAATGATTCAAGTAGGGTATCCAAAAGATGAGAGTCTTGAAGTAATGAATAATAAAATGAAGAGAGAAAGTGAAAATCAGGATATATTAGTATTTTAAATGTTAAAATTTTTATATGAAATTGTTTAAATATTTTTAATAATTTTGTTATTATTAATTTATCAAAAATATTTAAATAATTTTATAAGTAATTTTATCATTTTAATTATCAACACATCATAATTTTTTACAATTTTAAAATGAAGGTTATGGAACAAATAAAATAAAATTAAGTAAAAAAGGAGGCTCATCAACCGAGTGATGTGTATGTATTTTCTGATTTAAGTTTTGTTTGATACAATGGTTAAAATTCTAAACTTAATTAATACTGAAAACTCAAAAGGTAACATAGGTGAAGGGTGTGTTTAGTTTAATTAATTTTATTAATTTAGAATTTTTTATTTTTAAGTCATTAATTATAATATTTAAAAATATCAATTTATAAATTAATTTTAAATTAATACTGATTATTTTATCAATTATAAACTAATAATTATAATTTTTAACTATATTAATAATATTCTAATTAATAAAAATTAGGTGCTGAAAGCATTTTTTTATAGGATTTGACTTGATTTAATTCTAAATTAATTAAAATTTAATATAATTTCTAGATATAGGAGAGTTTAGTTAAAATAATAATAATAAGAGCCGAAATAATTAGAAGGTTACGTGAGGAATAGCCACAAAATTACCCGTATTAAAAGTCTCTAATGATATTAATCTTAAATACCCATGTTGAAGACTATTAAAAAAATACCCATATTACATTGCTCCTTCTTTTAAAACATGTTTCTTTGTGAGTAGAGCACTGTTCTATGTAAATAAAATAAAGTAAAATAAAATTAAAAAATTTTAAAATTTTCATGGTTCTTTCTTTAAAATGAAGGAAGAATATGAAATTTAACTTTAGTTATTAATACTAACAAGATTTATCAATTATGTAATCTAATAATAAAATTAATTGTGCTTTTAATTATAAATTTAAAATTTAATCCGTAATTTTAACATACCAAAAAAATAATTAAAACCAACAAGAATTTAAGTATATTCATATCCATTAACCCTAAAAACTTTAATTGTGGGAGTGCTCTCGACAACTAAAAGTGATAATGGTTGGAAAACAGCTAAATTAGACCCCTTTTTTTCGTGTGTATGTGTGGGCAACAACTAAATTAGATCGAAAATAATAGTATATTAATGGTAGGTCGGTTCCTTCGAATTCGAGAGATCTCTAAATAACAAACTGAAAAAAAGTAAATAAATTTATATCAATAACTTAAATAATTCAATATTTATATTCTTTCGTTAAAAATAAGAGGTTATGAAGTATACGGTTGAGATATGATAAGATATGAGAGATGATTATTTTTTATTGTACAATTAAAATAATAATAATAATAATAAACAAATTTAAGTTACACTCCTTTCTTTTTCAAATGTTCTTTTTGTTAATTAGAAAAATTTTTCGTTGAAAATATAATAAAAAATATATAATTTAAATATAAAAAAAATTATTATATTGATTATCAATTAATTTTAAATTAAATCTAAATCTTATATGAAAATTTATATGTATAATTTTTACATAATATATATATTATTCATTTTTTAAATACATTTAATAATATATTATATTAAAAAATTTCTTTTTTAAAAAAATTCCACATTCAATTTAAAATTTAAAGTTAAAACTTTTAATTCAAAATCTTATATTCTTAACAATTAAGTCACCATGAAGATGACACATGCGATCCACATGGTGCTCAGTTAGTCTTCAATTCAAATCTAAGGCAAGGACATTTCTCCCTTCCACTGTTATTACCCTTTTCATAAAAACATAAAATAACATTACAAGACTTAGGGCTTTGTGTTTTTGTTGTGTACTCTGACTTGGAAGTCTTCTTTCAAGACTTGACCTGGAGAAGTCTTTCGATTAGTAAATGATGGGTCTTTTCCTTTTTAAAGTTCTTCGTTTTTCTGTCTCCTAATAATTTTTTTTTAATCAACTTTTTTTTTTTTTTTAACTTATCATACTTTAGAATTGCTCAGTTATAAAGACAATTTAGGGACAAGTTAAGGTAATAAGGTTGTTACTGTTGTCAGTTTTTTTTTTTTGGCCGAAAATTGGACTATTAAGTTAAAATTTAAAAATTAATTTTGATTATTAGTTTTTAAACTTTTTATTTCAATATTTTTTTAATATATTAAAAGATGAATTATATGATATAAAATAATTCTTTCCTTTCTTTAATTTTTTTTCTTAAAATTAAAAATTAAAAATTTTAATTTAAAATTTTGAATTATTAATCACTTAAAACATTTCCTTCAGGCATTTTATAATTCAATATATAACAAATTGTTGAATTCTATTTTTCATTTTGAATTTTAACTTTTAGTTTTGGTCATCCAAATTTTAGTAACAAAAATGAAAGACCAACAACGGTAGCCTTACTAGAGGGTCCCTAAAACTACAATGATTAAATGTTACAATACCATATTTGGCCCTCTCTTATATAGCTTTTTCATAAGTCTATTCCATACCTCTTTAAGTCAACAACAAACCTAAGGGTACTATTGGAACAAAAATGTATAATTTCTCTTTAAAATAAAAACTATGAGAACTATAAAACATCCATTTATAAAAAGTGAGACAGTTAATAATAATAATTATAATTATAATAATAATAATAATAAACCCACACCCACAAAAAGAGTACTCACTATATAATAAAAATAGTCCCTTTCTATATCTCTTCCCCAATCCCAACTTGCATTAAATCCGAATCTAAAATTTTTAGTTTAGAGTTTCAAGTTTTCTTCTTCTTCTTCTTCTTTTTTTTAATGAATAAGCTTATTTTTAGATAATAATGAAAAGAGATTACTTTATTTTCCTATCTCTCAATTTTTTTGTTATAATAGTGATAAATTAATTAAGGGAATTTTATTTTTATAATTCAAATTACATCAACATTAAATTATAAAATATGAATTATTTGATGATATGAGTGTCTCTGCTATTAAAGGATTCTATTCTCGTAAAAATAGTTATGACCACCGACAACAACGTTATAACCACAAAAATAATAAAATATTATATTTAAAAAAATAGATTTAATTTAATATAATTGATGAAATGACTCATAATTGTAATTATTAATTAATGATTAATAAAATAGATAATATTTATTAATTAATAAATTAATAAACTTACATTTTCTAATATTATTCTAAAAAAAACCAAAAATTTGAGTCTTAATAAATTAATGGTGATGGTAACTTTACACATCTTTATTTAATGATCAGTATTTTATTTTTTATTTTTTATTTTAATAGTAGTAAATTCTAAGCATAATCATTGGTCTGTGTAACATCAAAAACAAAAACTTATTGGTTTGTTTAAATTGAGAGAGAATGCACTTCCTTACTACGAAGTAGCTTTCCCAGCAATTTCCTAGAAGTAGCTTTTCCACCAATCTTCCGGGGATAGTTCGGTGATTGGTACTGGAAAACACGGTTTCTTTAATTTTATATTATTTTTAG